GCAATTATCTGGCATGTACAAGGCCCTGGGTTTGATCCCCAACTCTGAAAAAATAAATTGAACAACAACAACAATAGTGATGAAAAGAATGAATCTCTGGAGGGATTCACAGAGGCCAGAAGAGGATATTCATTGCCAGTCTTGGTTTGAAGCAAGACCACTAAAGATTCTAGTTCCCTTCATTCAGTTTATTTCTGGCACTTTCAGAAGACTGAAATCATTTCTAATGGATATCAGTTAAATCTCAATGAAACTACTTATCAAGTCTTTAAGCCAGTATTGGTAGGAGAACTTTAAATACACAGATGAGCTGGAGATTTAGCTCAGTGGCTCTGCCACTTGCCTCACAAGCACAAGGTCCCGAGTTCGATCTCTGGTACCGAAAAAATAAATAAAAAATAAAAAACAAACAAAAAATAAAAACAGATGAGATTAAAAACAAAAAACAAAACAGATGAGTTTATTTTTATGTCCACAACATAATCACACCGAAATCTATGAAAGCAGAACATGGCCAGGATCGACCCTCAAGAACCCTTTGAACACCTCTAGATGGATTTTATCTAGCTGGCTCCCTCCATAGGATTTAAATATGTTTTAGTGTGTTTTTTCAGGATGGATATCCGTTTTTTCATAAATTTTATTTTATCCCATTCCCCACCAAGCCCTCTCCCCTCCCTATGTACAAAAGCTTTGTTTCCATTTTTTCCTTCTATTTTCACTTTTTTTCTTGTTGCTTCCTTCCTTTCTCCCTCCCTCCTCCCTTGTTCCCCTTCCCATTTGAACACTTTCTTCCCATTTCCCAATACAGGATAGATAGCCTTGAACAAAACCTACACCTCTTACAATTACTGGAAAGCTACTTGATTCTGTTTCCTACCTGAAACATCCCAACTTTTATATCAAATGATTAAGAACATAATTTATAGAATTGTTGTAAAAGAACCCTTTAAGATATTAACTTTTACTCAAAACCCATACTGTTTTTATCACCCACAAATTCTGGAAATCTTGAAAGAACCAACACATCCCTAAACTAAAAATGGAAAATTTTCAGAAACCTTTGAGCTCCTTTGGTCAAAGTTATTCCAATGAGCCCTTATGAATGCAAAGTTCTCCCTCTCAAGGACACACCAGTCCTCCTATGAACCAACACTATGGACTGAATGTGTCTCCTAAAATTCATGTCAAAATCCTAATGTGATGGCATTAAGAATGAGGCCTTTGGGAGGTGATTAGGTCATGAAGGTGGAGCCCAGATGAATGAAATTAGTGCCCTTATAAAACAGGCCTGAGGGAGACACATCACCCCTCGATGTGAGATTACAGGGAATAGATGGCCTTCTATTATGAGGTGAGTTCTTACCCAACACCGCACCTGCCAGTACTTTCATCTTGGACTTCCATCCTTTAGAACTGTGAGAAGTTTCTGTTATTTATAAGCCATCCAGTCTATGCTCTTTTGTTATATAGCCTAAATCGACTGAAGCAACTTATAATGGGACAACCTGAGCATTTAAGGATCTCATCTGTTCTGCTGCATACAGATTGGCAAAATATTGCCAAGGATTCCAGTATTATATGGGCCTATTACCAAGTGAAAGGGGCCTTGAACAGCACTTTCCTATGCAGGCTTGTTGTGTTCCTCAACCTGAAGATTTTGTCTATTGGAAGAAACATTTGAGAACTCTGCTCTTAGATTTCAGTAGAGGACCTTATCTTTTGTTAACAAGAACAGAAGTGAAACTGCAAAGAGTTACATTTCACAACTTAGGCTCATGGTTCACAACTAAAGAAGCAATTCAGAATTCTCCACAATTGTAATATTGTCCAACAGGGAACCTCAAACTTCAGTCTTAGAGGTAGCCCCACTGAGGAAGTGGGTGACTGACCCAGGGCTCAGGAACAAGCTCATGCAGTGGAAAGCTTTTACCCAAGAACTTGGCCCAAGATCCTGTTTTGCCTTTTCATCATTGCCTGTAATCACTCTTCTAATTTCCTGTAGGCTTCTGATTGTTGACCACTTATAGTGGCCCCCCCTTTTTTTCTTTTCTTTCTTCTTTATAATAGAGGAAATACCATCACATTTTGGAGTGTGTGTGTGTCTGTGTGTTGGTCAGAAAGATCTTCCAGGAAGAGAGGGCAGCATAACTCAGCTTTGAGTGGCAGTGGAATACAAATTAGCTCCAGTAGTGGGGCAGACCTTCCATGAGCAAGTGTTGGGTAGTGTTCGCAGGATCAGGAGATGGGAACTGGCCAAGTAGGAAGAATTTTCTACACTGATGCCCAAGTGAGCTTGATCCTTTGAGGGTGTGACAGTTAAAGTAGATTAACAACTTGATTGGCTTAGGAACCACCCAGGGGATTAGTAAAAATTCTGGGTTTATCTGAGGTCATAGAGGTATGGCCATAGGATCTATATCTGGTCCTTTGGCCATTCCTCTCTGGCACTTCCCCCAGTTCTGGTTCCTGACCACCATGAACTAAGGAGCTTTGCCCCACTACACCCTTCTGCCATGGTGTTTCTGCCTTGGAGCCAGGTGACCCTGGACTGAAACCTTTAAAACTGTGAGTCAGATAAATCTCTTCAAGTGTAGGTGTTAGGTATTGTGTCCCAGTGGCAGGAAACTAAGTAGAGGGATGGGAAATGGTTGAAGGCAAGAAGGGCATGACATGATCAGCTATGCTTTGTGATGGATTACTAAAGTGGCTGACTGGGGAATATACCTAGGATTGAGCAGGAGATAACTGGAACACACAGTAGTGAGGCTGAATATGAGGGATCATATTTGGAGAATCAGAAGTGGGACAAGTGAAGGGTAGGAAAGCATACAGGTTATGGTGAGAGAGGCTGCTGAGGAGGCATGATGGGCCCCGACTGGAATCTTCTGAATCCAAAGTGCCTGTGGGACACTGAAGCAGAGCTGCTCAGTTGGCAGTCAGAAAAATAAACCTAGAAGAGGTGGTGGTATTGGTTTGGAATTGAAAGAATGAGGCTTGAATTTGTGGTTGAGATTAATGAGGAACAACATGCAGAATAAAAATGAAAGGAAGGGCATTTCCAATTTCTAGTAGTATGCCTAGCAACAGGAGGTGGGCAATGAGCATATATTGAATGATGAAGGAAAGCACACCACAAAGCAGAATTCAGAGAATACTAGCCTTTGGGGATGCACGAGGAAGGTGTGGGAACGATGACAGGCTGGAGAAGATTAAAGAGTAAGTTTGTGGAGTTGAGGGGGAAAGTTTTAGGAAAGGGGAAGTGCCAGATGGAAAGATGGGCCCAGACAGATGGGTAATAAAACCTGTTCTTGGGCTCAACAACTGAGAGATCACTGATGATCAAGGAGTTTCTTCAGAGTGGTGCTGGGGTATGAGGGCACGAGGTGAGGATGAGGAGGGAAGGGAAGGTGAGAAGATGGACACAGAGTTTATTGTTTGCAGGGATGGAAAGAAAAGAGAATGAGGCATTTGGGAACATCTCGGTCTGCATGGAGGGGAGACCGGAAGGCTTCAGCTATACTTTTCATCCCACCCGTAATTCTTAAAGAAGATGTATAGGGACATCGTTCTCACTGCTGTAATTCATAATCAAATTAAATAATAATTCACAAGCAAATAGAAAGAGCAAACTCTTTCAATTATGACTTGTTATTCTGAAGGAAATTAAAGCAAATCGTGGTCAGGTAATATCAGCCCAGCATTTAACACAATGTAAAGATTGATGTGTAATATATTGTGTATTATGTTTTTAGTTATTGGGATACACTGAGCAGAAGGCACCCGCAGAGAAAAAAGATGCAATTTAGGAGAACGGATGACACACAAAGAGGTTCTGGACAGGACAGGGGCTAAGCATCAGCCTGGATAGACAGTCCTGTGAGCTTAGACATGAAGCTGACTGCTGGTGAGGAGATGGGTGTGCATGTAGTCCTGGGAGGTCAAGAGGCAAGTCTAGGTTTGGTTTTCTGGAAGAATTGGCTTTTTGTGACAGAATAGTGGGGCAGGGCAGGGGCTGTCCAGGAACTGCTTAACTGGGACAGCTGTGGAAGAGCCATTAAGGGGCCCAGGATAGAACAGAGGCCTGATAAAAATGGGACTGAAACAGTTTAAATGTAGGTTTTTGAATTTTCCCCCTCATTAAACCATAGGCTTACTGAGGTCCATCTCCGATCTGCACTGGACTCCAGCCCCTTCCACACATGAGGGGCACTCCATGAGAAGGGCATGGTGATACAATGAGTGGAGATCCACAACCACTTTGAAAGCTCTTCCTGCTACACAACTTCTCAAAAATCTGGGCAAAAGTGAACTTTTAGGTCATTTAAGAGTTTATGCAAATACATGCCATTAATCCCCTTCCTACACATGTAGACGTTACTTAAAAATCAGAATTCTCAAGAAAAAGTATTACACAAATTTTCTTAGGGAAAGAATGATGACGTTAGAAAGACCCTACCCTGTTGGTTCACCAAGATACGTTCATCATGTGCATATTAGTCCAAATTCTGAGAGCCAAAGTCCTATTCTCCAATAGGAAAGCCATATTCTCAGAGTTGGCTTTCCATTGGCTCTGAGGTGTGGGCGGGGCCACACTCCTGGAACTGCCACTAGCTCCACCCCATCCCATGCAAATGAAGTAAAGCCTGGCGAACACACGTGACTGGTCATATGGTCGACGATGCATTCTTCCCACCCCTTTAGTGACGTCATCACCAACCAAAACTCTCTCGGGAGCCTGCCTAGAGGTAAGAGGTTAGCAGGACTGTCCACTGGGCCAGGAGGGCCCAGGGGAGGGGGCTCCAGCAGGCCCCACCCCCTTCCAGAGCCTTGACTCTGAGGGGGTCCAGGGACCCAAAGGGGCCCGTGGGAAGCGACTAGGGGCCCCTAAGCACACACTGCGCTCATTGGCTGGTTGCGCCGGCATGCAAATGAGGGGACGTCACTTCCTGAGCCAGCTGAGCGCCATCTTCCCTTTCTGGCGCGCGGGAGGAGGGACGGGGACGGGGCGCGGGGCGCGGGGCGGGGGTCCCGCCGCGCAGAGCGGACGACGCAGCGGCGCTGCGAGCGGCTGCGGGACGCGGCGCTTCTCGCGCCCAGCGGTAGGTATAGCCCGGCCCGGTCCTCGCGGCGACGCCCCCCCCCCCCCCGGTCCCCTTGTGGCCCGCGCTGCGGCCAGCCCCGCCGTCCACCCTGCAGTCCGCCCCACCTTCTCCACCGCGGTCCGCCCTGCGTCCACCCTGCCATCCTCCCCGCCGGCCGGCCGCCCCGCCGTGGAGCCTTAGGAATCCGGGACGTTCGCAGAGCGCTGCTCGCGGCCCCGACGCCCCGCTTGCCCCTCCCGCCGGTCACGTGGGAGCGGGGCCGCCCCGGGGGAGGGGGTGGGGCGGGGTCCGGGGAATGTGTGAAAAGGGGACAGGGCTAAGGGGACGTGGAGGACGGAGGAAGGAGGCTGGAGAGCGGAGACGGGGTTGGTTGGGAGAGGACATTAGAGAGGAGAACGCGGGAGGGCGAAGGTGGGGAGATGCGGGCACGACGGCGCTGGCGGGCTGGTCACTCTGTCAGATACCCGGGGCCACCTTGAAGCGGCTCCTTGGCGGGCGGTCCTCTGGGTCCTCGGGTGAGGGGATGCGGGCAGGATTGCCCGCCACACCTGAAGCGCCGTTTTCCTCGAAGGAAAGGTCTGCGGAACAGCTGAGGGCAAATCTCTGTCACTTCACCGTGGATATTGATCTGAATGTTGAAGGTTGATAAGCACAGGCTGATGACTTTAAAATTGAAGTTTGGATCCGCCATTGCTGACTGCCTTCCAATATATGCCGTTTACGAAATTTCTACAAACATTTGGCCTAGGGACAGCAGAAATTGGAACTGAGTTATTGATGGTTTCAGAGTAACACGTAACTATTTTAAGTGTCTTCTTTTGAATCTGAGTGGAGGATTTACCGAGCGCTGTTAAAACTCATTATATGTAAATAGAATGGGCGGTTTCTGCTTGTGGAGCTGGTGAGGAAACCCAGCTGTTTGGGGAGGGTGGGGGAAGCATGCACGCCGAGTACAGCGCTGGTTCGTAGAGATATGAAGGTTGTTGGAGGTGCACACACAATTCATCAAAGGGGGCTTTGAGTCTGGTAAGAGGACAGTGTGTAAAAAATAGGAGTTGTGAAAGTCATGTATTCAGCTTGAGTTGGAAGTCATGTCAAATATGTCACCTTACCCGGAGATACTAGTGGGGAGCTAGCCACATTACTGGTTTTTAAATATTTTTGGTAGAGATGGGATCTGTGAACACATCAGTGAGCCAGTGGTCCTTAAGCACAGACTTGGCAGACCTTTGGTTAGAAAGGATAAGCAGGAAGGAGTAAGGAGGAAAGAAGTTCATTCTTGAGAGCTGGGAGGAAGGTGAGGGCTGGATGAAGACATCTCTTATAGGAATGAAACATTGGTTATGGGGCATGATGACAGTTATGGCAAGAATTGTAACTGAAGAGATCCTGAAAGTTTTGGGATACCTTTTAAATTTGAACAAAACTGGAAGTATGATTGCTGACACTTTGAGGAGGTAAATCTCTAGCATTCTACTCTCCCCTACACGCACTGGCTGTTAAAGACCTATTAGAACAGTGTGATACATAAGAGGATGCAGGTGGATGAAGGTCACATGATTAGGAAGAGATCTGGTGATTGGAACCCAGACCTGAATCTTGCTTTCATATATGGCGCAAATATTCTGTATTCTTAGTTGCTTTAAAAGGAATCCTCATATCCTATTAATTGGGACATTGCATTTAGTTTTTTGGTGTTAGATACATAGTACCTTAATCCTCACAGCAGCCCATGAAGTAGGTTGTGCTCTTGATTTTACAAATGAGGCAACTGAGATTCAGATTAAGTAATTTGCCTAAGATTACAGAGCTAAGAAGTTAGGGGACAGTTCTGCTGAGGTAGCTCTAGAACCTGGTGGTGCATGCCTGTAATCCCAGTACTCAGGAGGCTGAGACAGGATTGCCATGAGTTCGAGGCTAGCTTGGGCTATATAGTGAGTTCAAGGACAACTTGAACTGCCGAGTGAGACCTGCATAATGCAGTATCTTTAATTAGTTAGGATACCAAAACAACGAAAGAAACTCTGAATACCTCCTTGGGGGTTGTGTTTTGTGTACATCAGCGGAATTTTGTGGTGGTTCAGTTTCTACCTGGAACTGAGGCACAGAGACAGGGAGGTGGGGCTGGCTGCATTAAAATTAACATTAACATTAACATTTATTTCATAGTGGTGAAATATAGGTCTCACTGAACACATGTGCAGAGAAAACAAACTGAAAACAGCATGCCATTTCTTACCTAGTCAGTCCACTGGGCATTTTGTAGGGAATCTTGTGTCTTAGAAAGAATCAAAACAAAGAGGTAGTAACAGTAAGGGTGCATGAGTGTTCCTTGAAAGGATCGCTTGGAGATTGTGAATCTTCTGTCATTACCTATGTTTTGTCTTACTGCTCTCCTCACTAGATTTTCTTAAAGCAGATACTGAACTGCTAAAAAGGGGCTATCCCTTTTTTTAAATGAAAGATTTCCATGCTTATTTTTGGTGGAATAACAATGATAAGGGTGTGGGGATACTACATTTGGGAGTCAACTTCAAGAAAGAGCAAAGATGCACAGTTCCTTAGCTCTAGTTCCAAGCTGTGAACAAGTAACTACAGAATCTGTTTGAAGCTTGCTAGATTGCTGACACCTCATTTCTGAAAATCACAGTCCCTAAACACTCTTGGTTCTCAAAGTGCACCAGTGCTCATGGTCTCTGCTTCTTAGACCTTGTAACCAGAGAACCTCTTGCTGTGAGTTGAGACTTTCCTCCAAGCAGTAAATTTAGCTTCTCTGAGATGGGTGGATGAGGATCCTTACTTTGGATAATCTAGTTTAACAGCCAGCTTTTGGAAAAAGGAACCCCAGAATATAGAAGGTAATGGAGCTTGAAGGAGGAAGTAGAAGCAAGAATGATAGAGTGAGTGGACATCTGACCAAATTTTTCTTGTACCTTGTTTTGGCCAAAGCAGCCAGTCTCGGCTCTAATGTGACCTTGTGCAAGAATTTTTGAAACAGGTTGTAAGGTTCATGATCATGAGGCTTTTCTGTTAGAGTATATCCTTGGGAAGGCTGAAACCCAGTTCAGTGACTATTATTTTTTTAATGTTAATAGGTTTTACTTCATTTCCTTTGACTTTTATGTTCCTACTTCTACAATGCTAATGGATCCTTAAAGCTCTAAGATACACTTTCCATCTAGGTTAACTTGTCTGAAGAGAAACTAAAACCTACTCTAGATTGGCTCAGAACAGTGTTCTTACTCAAAAATTCATCCCTCCTATGTTAATTCTCTCTGCCTCCCCTCCATCCTATTTAATTCCAGCCTACCTTTTAGTTTTACTTAACATTTTCTAAATATATTCAGAAATTCCCTCCTTTACATCAGTGAGTTTTTTTTTTTTTTTTTGGACGTCGGTGAATTTTTGATGTGATCTGTTTGCATGGAATGTGTTGGGCTCCAGCCCTACATACAGCCTTTCTCTCTTTTGACCTTCCAAAACATTGTATGCTTTACATACCTATAGTTCTGAGCCTGTTTTATATCTTATTCATTTAGTGAACATTTGCTGTGTATTCTAATATGATTCCCACCCTAAAGGAGTGAAGTCCAGTAGGGGAAATAGCTAAATAGGTGCTTGGAACAGAGTGAAGGGGGGTATAGGGAAGGAATTATGCGCTAGTGACTGGGCTAAATGCGGGGGGGGGGGGGGGGGTGGGGGGGGGGGGGGGGCGTGTTCTTCAGTGGGGCTGCAAATGTTAGGAAGGAAATTGGTGACCCAGAATTCCTTCCTAAAGGTTGGGAGATTCTGCCAGATTGTCCTCTTAATGTATAGAAATTGTGAATTTTTACCTACTCTTACTACTGTTGGTTATCAATGAAATAAGTTATTTTGGTATAGTAACCAAAATGTTTACCACTTGAATTTGACTAGCAGATTTTTTTAGCTTTTATAGTTTATGCAAAATAAGAAAATTTGTTTTGAAATAGTTGTAGGTTTATGGAAAAGTCACAAATATAGTACAAAGAACTTTTCTTTCCCTGAATGGTTAGAGAGTAAGTTGCTAAACAAGGCCTCATATCACTCAAAATGTTGTGTTTTCTACAGACAAGAACGTTCTCCTATATATCCATAACAGAGCCATCAAGATCAGCAAATCACTATACCACCTAATCTCAGACCCCTTTGAAATTTTACCTTTCTCCTTTCTCTCTGTTTCTTTCCTTTCTTTTTCTTTTCTCTTTCTCTCCCCTCCCTTCCCTTATTCCCCTCCCTCTTTTTCTCCCTCTCTGCCTTCTTCCTGTATTGGGAATTGAACCCAGGGCCTTTGCACTGAGCTTCATCCCCAGCCCATTTTTATTTTGAGAGGATCTCAGTGAATTGCTAAATTGCCCCGGGTGGGCTCACACTTGGAATAGGTGTTTACCACCCACCTGGCTGTCAGTCTTTCTAATAACGTCATTTGTAGGAAAATGATCTAGTTTAGAATTGCATGTTGTGTTATCTTTTTGTTGTTGTTGTTGTTATACTATATATTTTTTGGGGGGGGTTACCAGGGATTGAATTCGGGACCTTGTGCTTGTGAGGCAAGCACCAGAATCACTGAGCTAAATCCCCGGCCCTATACTATATTGTTTTAAAATCTTTAAATTTTATTGTTTAGTTATCTTTATTTTCCTTCAATCTGCAATAATTCCTTAGTTCTTCCTCTAAGGGGTGTGTGTGGGTTTTTTGGTTTGTTTTTGGTGGTGCTGAGATTGAACTCAGCAGCCCATGCATGTGAGGTGAGCAGTGTACCACTTGAGCTACATCTTAAGCCCCGTGATATATATATATTTTTGGGGGTACTGGGGATTGAACTCAGGACCTTGTACTTGTGAGGCAGGCAGCGGCACCACTGAGCTAAATCCCTAAAAAAATATATATATATATATATATATGTTTTTTGTTTTTTTGGTACCAGTGATTGAACTCCGGTCCTTGCGGTTGCGAGGCAGGAGGCAGAACCACTAAGCTAAATCCCCGGCCCGTGTTACATTTTTAAAAGTGTATAATTCATTGATTTTTGTTACAGAGTTGTGCAGTGCTCACCATATTCTAAGAATATCTCCAGCTCCCCAAAGGCCTGTCCATTTGCTTATCTGTTCTTGCCTGTCAACTACTAATCTGTCTCTTTATCTATAGATATTCTTCTGAACATTTTATGTAATTAAAACTATGGGAACTCTTGTACTAGATTCTTTCACTCTGCATTATGTTTTAAGATTAGGTGCATACATTACCACTTTGTTACTGTTTACTGCCAAATAATATTCCATTGTATAGATATACCACATTTGTTTATCCGTTTTATGGACATTTGGATTGTGTCCATGTTTCTGAGATTTGGCTTTTATGAATTATTTACTATATGTGATCTTGACATTTCTGAATATTATGGGCTAGCTACTTTGTACAATGTTTCTTTCTTTTTTTTTTTGGTACTGGGGATCAAATCTTGTGCTTGTGAGGCAGGCGGCGGAACCACTGAGCTAAATCCCCAGCCCCTGTACAATGTTTCTTAATTTAGGCTTGTCTGCCAGACTTGGTCTTTTCCCTTAGTCATTAAGTATATCCTTTTCTTCATCACACTTTCAGTTTATATCAGTGTAGACTTGAACTTATATTTTAGTGGACTGCATTTCACTGAACTATTGCTGAATATAAACCACCCCAAAACTTAGACTAGAATATTTTATTCAAAAGGTTCATTAGTTCTGTGGGTCAGGAATTCAGATAGGGAACTGGGAGATGGCTTATCTTTCTGCATTGTGGAGAGACTGGCAGCTAACAGTGACTTGGCAGCTGGACCAGAAACCTCTCAGGATGTCTTCACTCTGTGCTGAGGGTGATGTGGAACCCCTCCAGTGATCTCTGTTTTGTTCATATGCTTTCTTAGAAATATGGTCTCTAGATTCCAAGTCTGGCCTTCCTGAGATGTGTGGTATTTTCCCTTGACACTATTGGTTAGGCAGCTATAAAGTTCTGTTCGGCATTCGAGGGGCGGAGGGAGTTTAGATTTTTTTTTTCTGGGAGGAATATCAGGTTCCTGTTGTAAGAAGAGCACGAGTGATAGGGGACACTTATGTGTGTCTTTGGGGAACTGCGTATGCTACAGATTACTGGCCATATTTCAGAGGTGCCCAGATTGCTCTGGCTTTGGCCTTATGGGAGCCTCCAAGCTGATTACTTTTGTCCTTTTGACACGTCTCATCATTTTCTGAGCAACCGTCTTACTTCCTGGCATAAAAGCCCATCTTGCTTTTATTGTGTTACAGCCCAAGTTTTTTTTGAGAATTTATTTTTTTTGAGAGAGGGTCTCACTATGTAATTCAGGCTGGCCTTGAACTCGCTGTATAGTCCAGGCTGGCCTCAAACTCGGGAGAATCCTCCTGCCTCAGTCTCCTGAGTGCTGGGATTTCAGGTGTGTATCACCACGCCCGGCTCAGCCCAAGTTCTTTTTAAATCTATCATTTTTTTTTTTTGGTACCAGGGATCAAACTCAGATCCTTTCGCTTGCGAGGCAGGTGGCAGAACCACTGAGTTAATCCCCAGCCCAAGTTTTTTTTAATAGAAAGTAGTATTTAGAAATTGAGATGGGGGCACTATGTGTGTGCCACCTGCTACGGATGTGTAACTGCTTTTAGGCTGTCTCCTGGCTGTGTATACACACACTTCTTACAATGCTTTTTTTGGGGTGGTGGTAGTACTGGGAATTGAACCCAGGGCATTCACACTGAGCTACATACATCCTCATCCCTTGGCCCTTTTAGAATTTTTTATTTTAGTGCTTTCTTCGGTAGCACATATGCTAAAATTTTTTATTTTGGAATAGGGTCTTGCCAAGTCCCGAAGTTGCCCAGGTTGGGCTTGAGCTTGCCATCTTCCTGCCTCAGCCTCCCAGAATGATGGGATTACAAGCATGCACCACCACATTCGGAGATTTTTGTATCTGTATATTACAAGTGATCACATCATGTCAGTGTCTCCTAATCTGGTCAAGTACCACATGGTTTATTTTTATTTTATTCCTTTGTAGCTGTATTAAAAATAGCTTTACTGAGATATAATTTATATAACATAAGATTCATCCATTTATAACATACAGTTTAATGGCTATTAGCATAGTCACATACTTGTGCAAATGTCACTATAGTTGATTTTTAAACATTGTCTCTGTTTCAGAAAGAAACCCTTTTCCCGCCCCAGTTCTCTCTGGTCCCAGGCAACCACCGGTGTACTTTCTGTCTGTAGATGTATTTGTTCTGTACACTTTATATGCATGGAATCATACAACAGATAGGTTTTTGTGTCTAGCCTCTTTGAACAGAATGTTTTCAAGGGTCATCCACATAATAACATATACCATTGCCTCATTTCTTTTTATGGCTCAAAATATGGATAATAACAGATTTATTTTTATTTTTTTGGTACCGGTGATCGAACTCAGGACCTTGCACCTGCGAGGCAGGTGCAGTGCCACTGAGCTAAATCCTGGCCCGGATAATAATCAGATTTTATTTGTCTGATCACTTGATGGACATTTGTTTACATACTTTTTTGAGTATAGTGAGTAATGCTGCCCTAAACAGCCTTGCTCAAGTTTTTGTGTGGATACATTTTTCATTTATTTTGGACGGAATTGCTGGTTAAAATGGTACCTATATGCTTGGTCTTTTGAGGGATTATCAGATGGTTTTCCAGCTTGGCTGCATTATTTACCTTACTACTGGCAATGTATGAGTTTTTGTTTTTCTGTATTCTTGTCTGTACATGTCAACCCCTCCCCAGCTTTAAAAAATTATAGTCATCCTTGTAGATGTGAGGCACTATCTCCTTGTGGTTTTGAGTTTATTGATACTGAGCATCTTTTATGTTCTTAATGGCCATTTGTGTATCTACTTGGGAAAAGTGTTCAGATCCTTTACCCATTGTAAAGAAAAGCAGGGAAAAGAAAAAATACGAAAAAAGGAAAATAATGGAAACAAAGTCTTTGTAAATAAGGAAGGGTGGAGGGGGTGAAGGAAGGGCAGGGGAATGGGGAAAAAATAAGAACCAAGATACATCATGTAAAGGTACAAGATCCCAGTGATGAATGTAACTGTGTTGTATACCTAAAAGGTACCAATAAATTTAATGAAAAAAAATTGGGTTCTTTTAAAAAATTTTTAAAAATTTCTTCATGTATTCTGGATATAAGTTGCTTATCAGGAATATGATTTGGAAATACGTTTTTCCTATTTTGTGGAAGTTTTGCGTTTGTGGTGGTGACTTTGGAAGCTTAATGCTTTAATAGTTTTAAATTTTGATGAAGTCCAATAATTTATTGTTTTTCTTTTATTGTTGGTGCTTTTTGGTGTCATATCTAAGAATCTGTTGCTGAATCTAAGGCCATGGAGATTTATGGCTACATTTTCTTGTTAGGGTTTTTAAAATTTAGCTCCTCCATGTGTAACCTACTTTGAGCTTGGTGTATGGTGTAAGGAAGGAGTCCAGCTTCATTCTTTTGAATGTGGTTATTCTTTCCTAGCACTTTTGTTGGAAGTTATACTCCTACTGTTTTCCAGCCTTGTTTAAAAAGTACATTTTTGTATACGTATATATATTTATGTTAAAGTTTTGGTTTTTTTCCTTTTAAGGAAAATTTCAAAAATGTTTCAAATTCCTGTGGAAAATCTTGACAACATCAGAAAAGTGCGGAAAAGGGTGAAAGGCATTCTTATGAGTATTGGACTTGACAGCTGCCAGGAGTTTCTGAAGGTAAGAGGGTATAAATAACAGATTAAGAAAGTGATAATAGAAATGCTAGTTTGGGCTTGTGGAGTGAGGTTTGAAAAGTTTTTAAAGAATGGATAAGATTTCTCAAAATAGGAATTGCTAGGGCTGGGGATTTAGCTCAGTGCCTGCCTGGCAAGCACAAGGTCCTGAGTTTGATTCCTGGTACCAAAAAAACAAAGTAGAATTTGCTAATACTTTAGATGGCTGTGTGAAAGCATCTTCAACACTTATTTATGCCCTTCTAATGATGAACTATTTAAGTTGTTCAAGTTTTTAAAACTACTTTTAGGAGACAATTTTTATGGTCATTAATTATAAAAATACAGTATTTGCTTTTGATGTTTGAGGGCAGTGTGTTGAATTTATTGTTATACTGCAAAAGAAGACTGCAACTTAATGTCCCAGTATTGCTTGAGTGATCAATAAATAGCCATTCACATGTAATATGATAGTTTTTTTTCTATTGATTTATAAACTTATGTATGTAGTCTTACAAAAGTTTGAAAATTAAAGTCACAGTCACACACTTGATTTTTTTCTTATAATTTCATCCATATAACATTGAAAATATGTCATTGGCAAATAGTTTAAAAATGTTAAATAAGCATTAGTGTCTGTGTTTAAGCCATTGATAATTTGATGTGTGTTTTATTTGTGCCTATAGAAATAGGAACAGTATTTGCTTTGAAGTTTTAAAGCTGGTAAGGAATTTGGTTCAGAATATTTAGGAAGAGCTCAGTTTCTTAATCTTCAGATTTTAGACTTTTTTTTTGGTACCGGGGATTGAACTCGGGTCCTTGCACTTGTGCAGCAGATGGCGAAACCGTCTTAGTTCCCTGGCCCAGATTTTAGACTTTTAACTAGATTTTTACTTACAAAAAGGCAGTTAGGGCGCCAGGGATTTAGCTCAGAGGCACCGTGCCTGCCTTGTAAGCGCAAGGTCCTGAGTTCGATCCCTGGTACCCAAAAAAAAGGCAGTTACATATTGAAAGACTGATTACCAAGGTTCCTATCAATGGCCAGAGTTATTAATCTTTGCTCTCAGGTAGATAAATACTATTAATTTCTTTTTTTATTTTTACTTTTGGTACCAGGGATTGAACTCAGGACCTTGCGCTTGTGAGGCAGGTGTGGTGCCACTGAGCTACATCCCTGGCCCAAATACTATTCATTTCTGAAGAGTGGGAGATCTTCATTGTAACATGCTGCCTTTTCCTTTGTACTCTTTGCTCTTGTACCTTCCTTTGCTTTTTTCAGAGCATTTATACTACCTGATATTATTTGTTGGTTATCTGCCTCCTCTGTTTGAATGTAGGGAGGGGGGCAAAGACCTCATTGTCTTGTTATCCACTGTTTTGCTTGCAGTCAGAGTAGATTTTGACACCTGGATGCTTCACAGATATTTTTTTCTGTGAATGAATAAAAATGAAATTCAAGTAGAGAAACATTTTATTTTTTTTCTAAGTTTTTTTATTGGTACATTTTAGGTATACAATTCGTTTACATTTATCATTGGGTGTTTGTACCTGTACATGATGTATCTTGGTTCTTATTTTTTGCCCATTCCCTGTGCGCCCTTCACCCCCTCCACCCTTCCCTATTTACATAGACATCATTTCCACTTTTTTTCTTTTCTCATGGTTTTTCCTTTCCCTCTTTTCCTGTCCCCTTCCCCTCCCTTCACCCCTTCGTCTTTGGACCTTTTTTCCTATTTTGAATTATCAGTTATTCATTTTAATCATTTTAACCCTTGTGTACACTATCAGTTTCTCACACTAGTGAAACTATTTGGTATTTACACATGTGTGTCCTATTTATTTCACTTAAGAGTATGGCCTCGATATGCATCCATTTAGCTATAAATGACTCTAGTGTTTTGTTCTTTATGGCTGAGTAGTACTCCATTTTATAAAAAAACCACATCTTCTTTATCCAGTCTCCAGTTGATGGGCATTTGGGCAGTTTCCAAGTTTTAGCTATCACAAACTGTGCTGCTGTGAACATGGGTGCACATATATCACTGTGGTATGATTCTTTTAATTCTTTGGGGAAGATCCCTAGCAGGGGAATAGCTGGGTCAAATGGGACCTCCAGTCCTAGTTCTTTGAGGTATCTCCATACTGATTTCCACAGTGGTCACACAAGTTAGAGAAACATTTTAAATAACAAAGCATGACTGAAACTTCACTTGGGAAGTATAAAGACAGGAGGGATCCTGAAAGTGGAAGTTTTGATTAGAGCCTGTTGTTCAGGAATAGTCCAAAAAGAAGAAAACTTTTGGAGATAATGGATGTGGAAAGATAGCAGGGTAATTATTTGGAGACAAGATTGAGAATAGGAAATATGCTGAGTGGGTTGAGGGTGGGTATAAGTCCATCAAGGACAGAGTAGTTTGATTGAGGGATGTAGAGAACGTGGACTTGAGCATCTGAGAACACAGGTGTGTATAGGCTATGGAAGTTTTAAGTAGTGATATGTAGGTAGCTTCTAGAACTGTGCTTGCCTCAATAGGGGAGTCTAGAACTGTGCTTGCCTCAGTAGGGGATGATCTAGAAGTGGACTCTGTAGATGTGGTATCGTCTTCCTAGAATTAGATTGAGCATATTCTTTTGATCACTAGCGGGTTACACAGAGGCTTTTTGTTTTAACCCTAGACCTTACCTAGTGATGTGACCTTGGACAAATGAATTAACCCTAAGGCATCAGTGTCCTCATAATCTCAGAGAAGGAACATGGAGAATTGATGCCTGGATTCTTGTCCCTGTTAGGGTGATGATTGTCTGCAGAAGCTGAGACAAATGTGGGACAGTCATTGCAGAGGAGGCTGAAAGATCACGTTTAGTGGGAAAGCTGCTGTGGCATTTCTGGAGGAGTTGAGAGATGAACATTTATGTTTAAAGTCTGTTTTGTAAATAGGTGGTATTCTCCAGTGGGAAAAATTGGAGAGGTTGTTCCAGGAATACGAATTTAGAGCCATGACCTGGTTGATTAACATCTGTCAGACCAGGGTGAGTGACTTCAGTTGTTTGAAATGCTCTGTTTGGAAGTTATAACTGAAATTTACAGAAAAGTTTCAAGAATAAAAACAGTATGAAGGACATTCATTACTCTTTACCCAGATTCATGGCTGTGACTGTGTTATCCTGTTTGCTTTGATATTTCCCCTTGCTGTGAACTCTGTGTGTGTTTATTACAAAGTAAGTTGTATACCTTATGGTTTTTTTTACCTAAATAACAGTGTGTGTATGTGTGTGTGTGTGTGTATGTATATATGTATTTTGGTACCAGGGATCGAACTCAGGTCCTTCTGCTTATGAGACAGGCAGTGGCACCACTGAACTAAATCCCCAGCCCAGTAGTGTATATTTTCTAAGGGTATGTATAGTTTTTTTAAAGCTACAGTTTATCAGCTTACATGAATATACCACCAATAGCATATTTTTATCTCATCACGACCAGCATTGTATTCCCCTTTAATAAGGGATTCAGTCTAGAGTTAGGTATTGGATTTGCTTGTCATGCTTCTTTAGCCTTCATTTAATGTGAATCAGTTGTTAAAAGTAGAATTCTATTCTGTGATTGGTTTCATCCCCTCAGTCCCCTTTTGTAGTGCTAATGATTCAACCCAGGGCCCCAGTCATGCTAGGCAAGCATGCCACTATGCTACACACCTAGCCCTTGTTTTATATAAAATATCAGTTTTAGGTAATATGTCAGTAAGAGTTTTTCATTCTCAAGTGCTCAGTTTTTGACTTGACTGGAACTGAACATACTTGTTAACATTAGATCCTTTGTAACCCTGAGGCTGCTCATTCATCTGAGTATGTTCAGGCGGTTCACTGACAGAAGTACTGACACACTTCAGGGGGGAAAATTGAGAAATTTCAGTCCCTTAAAGACATTAACTATTGGGTTAAATATGACTCATTTTGGGGGGCATACTTTTACTAATTTGTAGTTTTGCCTCATGAAAACTTTTGAAAATTTAAGCATTGTAAAACTGCATTATAAGTGAGAAAACAGACACAAACGTGAAAATAAACTTAATAAACCATTACTTCAGAATACCCATTATTAACATGTGATGTATCTATAGATTTTTTAAAAATAGGATATATTTACGTTTTTTTTTTAGTAAACGGGGTTTACTGTGTAAGAAGACAGTTGTACTTGCTTTTTCTTTTCCTTCTCTCAGAACCTTGTATTATGAACTTTTATCAGGTCTAACTTATGTGTCCTTAATGTACCTTAGCAGTTTACTGACTGGCTTGTACCATGGGGAACTTACAGAAAAGTTGCTGAGACCTTCTGAAATAAGAGAGTACTTATTCATTGCCCTTAAAGTGACTCTGCATTTCAGATTTTACAGTGAGATGTTACTCTGCCTTCTCATCCGATTTCCACAGCATATGTGACTACACTCTCATAGCAAGAATTAAACTTTAGATAGGAGGCTCTGGGGTTCTTGTCAACAGCTGGCTGAGAAGTGAGCCTTAAAGTAGATCTAAACCTTGCTATAGTATAGAATCTCATGAAGTTAAAATTAACAGCTGGGTATGGTGGCACAGACCTATAATACCAGCAAGTTTGAGGCCAGTTTAGTAAGTTAGCAAGACTCTTATCTCAAAGTAAAAAAAATAAAAAGGCCTGGAGATGTAGCTCAGTGCTCTGGGTTTCATATCCAATACCACCAAAACAAACCAGCTAACAAAAATTATTTAAACAGTTAAAACTAAGGCTGGCTGCCTGCACAGTTTGTAGGGAACTATGCAAAATGAACATGTTGGGCATTGATTAGCTTCCATGGCACTTGGTACCTAGATCTGGGGTGGGCCTGAGGCCCCTTTTGAGTTGTCAGCCAACACACCGTGCTGCCAACGCAGGACAGGGATGGTTGCCACCTTGTCCCACCTTTGGGTTGTCACCTGTTTATTTATCTGTCCATCCCCCTATCTGAGCCAGATTAGTACATAGGGCAGTGT